CAGGGAGAATTCTAGTGAATGAAAGCTTTGTGACGAATGTCTCTGGTGTTTATGCAATTGGAGATGTAATTCCAGGTCCAATGTTGGCGCACAAAGCAGAAGAAGATGGGGTTGCTTGTGTAGAGTACATAGCTGGTAAGGTGGGTCATGTGGACTATGACAAAGTCCCTGGGGTTGTGTACACACACCCTGAGGTTGCATCTGTTGGAAAGACAGAGGAGCAAGTAAAAGAACTTGGTGTCCCATACCGAGTTGGCAAGTTCCCTTTCCTCGCCAATAGCAGAGCTAAGGCAATTGATGATGCTGAAGGATTGGTGAAGATATTGGCTGACAAGGAGACAGACAAGATATTGGGGGTGCATATTATGGCACCCAATGCAGGAGAGCTCATTCATGAAGCAGTGATGGCGTTGCAGTATGATGCTGCTAGTGAGGACATAGCACGAGTTTGCCACGCACATCCAACGATGAGTGAGGCAGTGAAAGAAGCTGCAATGGCCACTTTTGACAAGCCCATTCACATTTGAAGAGCTGGTTTAGAGGCCAAAACAAGAGCTGGTTTCCACTTCATTATTCTTGTTTTCAATTTTGCCCTTGAATTTTACGATGACAAGGAAGAGATTCCATTGTGTGTATTTGTGTGTTCTCAGCAAATGTAGATGTTTAAATACAAATTAGCTCCAACCTCAATGCATACCGAGAGAATGGTTGTGTTGCTTCTTACTCATGCTTGAATAAATTGTCTCGATTTTCTGTCCGTCTTGGCCATATGTCTTTTATCTTTCGTGTTATTATTCTTTGGTTTAAAATCTGCAGTTCACAAACCTGTCAAAATTTTCAAAATTTTTCTTCTCAAATTTTAGTTTTCTTTCAACTTCAAATTTGGATATTAGAAAGGAGGGACGGAGCAAAAGCTTGCTGCTGCTAGTGGTTTGAATTCCTTCCTTTAAAGAACTGAACTTGATGTGTTTTGATATTGCAATCGTTCCTTTTCTTTCTCTTTTTGTTTTTGGCAGACATTTTGACACTGCAATCTGTATGAGAATGGCACTGTATATTATTGTTAGTGATGCTAAATGTTTCAACGAATTGGCCATGTTGTCTCTAAGTCATAGCATGTGGATTATGTCGATGGACACAAATACATTAGACTAGTAATATAATTAATATTTATTTTACTTTAAATTTTATAGACTAGTCAATAGATTTTTTTTATAACTAGATGGAAATGAATAGATTGATATATAATATTTAGAACCGGGTATAGTCTGATGGTTAGAAATTGACTATTAGAAGAACATGATTTTTTTTTTATAATATATGACAATCTTGTATACCCTCTAATCTATCATTGGCTGAAATATCATACTTAATAAAAAAAACTATGAATACGCTCGCCATGAATTATGTAAAAATAGAATGGGAATTTTAAAAGTTAATACACGCATGAACATTGAAAAATCGCAAGAGGGGCAGATTCTAGTTGTTAGTAATGCTAAATGTTTCAACGTTATTTCAACGATCTGGTCATGTTGTCATAGCCAAGAAGATGAATTTGAATGGCTATTAAATGCATTTGGAATTGGATTTCCACTGCATAAAATGTTCAAACACGAATATGAAGATAGTTCAACTGATTGTGTAAGGATTGAAAAGTGAAAACAATGGAGTTATAACAGCATCCTGCAAGTCAGCTTACAGAGCAGCTTGCCATCATCAAGAGATCAGCAATGTCTAACCACAAGCTAAGTTTGCATGTACTAGAAAAATGATTGGAGAATTCAGCATTCGTTTTCTTCCATAATGGAAGCAATACATTATTTAAAGAGTTCGTGAATAAATAAAAAATACTTAATGAGATCAAATAGTACGAGAATCAAACAATATTGGTGCTTAAACTAGTCTATAAAATTAGAAAAATAAAAGAAGTTTATAAATTTAATAAAATCATAAAATTACTCTAAAATCTCGTGTATTTCATTAAATTTATCAATTTGTGCTATATTCAAGTTATCAATTCCCCTTATATAGTTTGTTAATGAAGTTTTTTTAGTTGACAACTAAGTGGTAATAATTTACAATTATCCAACACCAATTTATAACTTCAGTAAAAAAAAATGAAACTTTAGAATAATTAAGTTTGTGATTTTATAGGACTTTTTGTGTTTAAATTTCTTGTGTGATACTTTAGAGTGATTTTTCCTATAAAATAATCATCTCGATCATGGACAACTAGAAGGGTGTCCTATAATTTATCCACATACTCCAGATAATTTGTAGTAGATACTATTCCTATTATAGGCAAAGTAATCAACAACCTCAAAAGGCGTATTGCTTTTGTTAGTATATTTGCAAATTAAGCCATGGATTAACACCGCACGTTCAAAGGGGCAAGCAAAGGGCAGAGAGTCTGCCCATATAAATTGTTATCAAGAGCAAAATCAAAGGCAAGGAGAATAAGGGAGAAGAAAAGGACAGTCAAGAAGGAAAAAATGGCTCACAATAATAATTATTCTCCCTTGGTGGGCTCCATTGTGGTGGTGCTATGCCTCTGCAATATTGCTCCTTGTGCTTATTCAAACACACCGTCCATACCAGAGATTTGCTCAAAACACAACAACCCTACGTTTTGCGAGGAAATTCTGAAGAAGAAGCAAGGATCGGAGCTTCCGTGCCTAGCAGAGTACGTGATTGAGCAGATCCAGACCCGCGTCGGCAGCACCAAGACGGCTCTGGACACGATGGTCCAGCAGACACAGGAGATTCGTCTGAAGCAGCATTACCACTCGTGCTTACAGCATTACGGCGACGCTTTGGAGGGCATCAAGAAGACTAAGAAACATTTGGAGAATCGCGACTACTTTGGGATGGACGTCGTTGCTTCCGACGTGATGACCGACATTGATGATTGTGCCTCGTCGGAAGCACCGGGATATGATCCCTCCGTTTTTTTGGTGAAGACCAACCAGGATTTGGAGAATCTCTGCGTTATCGTTATGATTATCGCTAATCGCCTGACAGGAAAATATTAGTTAGTTAGCTTGTTTGATCGATTCATTTATATCCATATGCATGTCCCATATGTCTTGCTCATGATTATCGTTTTCTAATTGCTTGATTGATGAGCTTATGCATGTTTCTTCGATCCAGGATTGTTCATGGGATTTAGGAGCTTATGCATGTTCTCACATTTTCTTGATCTTGTTTTTTTTTTTTTTAAACCATGGGCAATCATCACATTGATGCGCAATTCCGCATCGGTTCGTTTTCTATCTTTCATTATTACCTTGGATTTGTGCTGAGTTTAGCCCGAGTTAAAGTCGCCTTGCTTTAATAAAAAATAATTACGTGTGTGTAATCCTCGGCTGCTTTCTCATGTTTTAAAGTTATGTTATATCATCCTCAGTGTGTGTTTGATTTTTTATTTATCAAAAGTTTATTTAATAAAATAAATTTAATGAAAGTATGAAATTTATATTTAGATATATTTTTTTAAAAGTCAGTTTGATATATTGAAAATTGTTTAAATTATGATAGTAAAATGTATTTTTGAATATACAATTATCAAAAAAGATATTGATTTATGATTATTTATAATTTTTATTATACAAATATAATATATTTGAAATATTTAAAAAATTATATAAAAATTTTAAATAATATAAAATTTGATCTATAATGCTAAAAACTTGATCTTTAAATATTTATACTTTTTTAATTTGTAATTTTAGAAAATATGATAAAGATTTGTAATTTTTATTATACATTAATGCTAAAAATTAGTATGATTAATTTTTAAATTTATAATGTTAAAAACTTGGTATCTAATTATTATTATTGAAATGGTAATTATATTTTTAATGAATTAATTATTTTTTAAATAAAATAATAAGAGATTAAACTTAAAATAATATGATCAAATAATATTTTACTTTTTAATTTTATTTTTTAAAAGTATTAAATAGTTACATTTCAGAAACTCACTTTCAATTATTATTTAAATGTACTTTCAAAATATGTTTTTCTATAAAATATTTTACTTAAATAATTTTTAACATCTTAAAAATAAATTTTACTTTTTAAGTATGAACAGTAAGCAAACCAAATGGATCCTAAGGGGTGTGTTCGGGAAACGCAAAATTTCGTTGAAGGCGACCTAACATTTGGGGTGGCTCCCATAGGCGTGGAACTGTATAATATGAGCTTAATTTAAAAAATCAGTACTAACTTAACTTGTTTGAATTGAAAACATGTTTTTGATAGAAAATAATCCAAATGGCGTTTTTGTTTTAAGAATATGAATTATGAACTTGTTGAAACCCTTTATTGTTATTTTATAAATGCATACTTGTTAATTTATTAAATTAATTTGTTAATAATCTTCTAGATATTCAATAATTTTCTTGACTTGTTATAATATGAAGTGGATTTATTAAAATCTTAACTTATCATTTTATTAACATGTACTTATTAATTCATTAGTAAAACTTAACAATACTTTTTAAATATTTAATCTTGTCATATTATTTTAATATAAAGTAGACTTATTAATACCTAGCATAACTTGTCATTTTCACAATGTGATTTTGTGAATTCACTAGGAGTATTTAATAGCAATGCCTTCTACATATTATTATATTGTTGACTTGTTAAAATAAGAAATGTACTTATTAAAACCCTAATGTAAGTTGTTAAAAAAATGAAGGATATTTATGTTCCTGTTTTAACAGTTCATTAATTTGAATCTTTAAAACAGCATCAATAATCAAATATATGCGATGCATTTCTTTCGGAGAAAAAACGTGTTGCATATAGCTTGTATTTCTTTTGAAATATAAATATCAAATAGTAGGCCTTAATATGAATAAAGCATAAACCCTATTAATATCAAATAAACTAAAAAATTCATAAGTAAAATATTCAATACTTTTAAAACATCAGATGTTTCTCCCCTAACAAAAATAACAAGAACAAAAGTTATTGCAAACTAAGACAATACGAAGAACTAAAATTCAAATCTTTATTGAAGAGTGCTTACGCTTGTACAGTAGTTGGTAGATAGAAAATTATCTTTTTAGAAAGAAAATGACCAATGCATCAATCCCATTTTTTTCCTACATACATTCGCATTTTCTTTTTTGAAAAAATATTTTTCATATCGAACAGGATTACCAGCCTCTAATAAGATGACATGTGTGCAATAAAAGAACCCAATTAATCAAAATGCAGGTATCATAACGAACCGAGTGTTCCAAAATGCTGTTCATCGGGGGAAAACACTGATTCACGGTTTGCACAACACAAGCAAGGAGCAAGTCCCAGAAATGATGAAATCAAAGATGAACAATGGTAGGCTTATAGTCAACCGCAATGAGTTTGTCGGCGTGGGAGAGGAACAAGTTTGCAAATTGAAGATGGGCAGGATGAGCTACATACTCTGCAAGCCCTTCTGTACTCTCAAACGTTGATTCAAACACGTGAGTAAAACCTTCGTTCATATTCTCAGCACTCACATGCTTGCCCCTGCTTACAAGCCAAGTATAAAATTAATTGTAAGGAGAGGGAAACGAACTCCAAAAAGACGAGGAAAAGGGTAAGGTACCAATGGAAGGACTTCATGGTTGGGACGAGATTGACGAGATTGGCGAACCCTTTGATGAGCTCCACCATCTTCTGTGGCGACACATCGTCTTCAAATTTAGCCACCACCACGTGCTTCACAACCCCTTTTGCTTCCTCCATTTCTGCCTCTCTCTCTCTCTGTCTCTGTGTGTGTGTGGGGGGGGGGGGGAGGGAGAGAGACAGACTCTGTGTTCGTCTTCATTCGAACGGATAAGCAATCCTCCATTTGGGACGGGTGTCATCACTAGGATCACTAGTTCACCAGCAGCTTTTTTAATTTTTTGCCAACCACTAGCTGCTTATCTTAATTAGATTGTGCGGCCTATTATCTCGGGAGAATTTCGAAATTTTCTATTAGGGGTATTTGGTCCTCTTAATTAGATAGGAGATACAAAAGGGACTTCCTTAATTGTAGTTCAATTCTCTTTCATCAGAGAAACTTCAAGTTTTACAGTGAAATTTAGAATCAAAATGCAAACACTAAAATATACTCCCTACTTTTTCCATAACCGCCAGCCATTATCGACACCCATTCGAATTATAACGTCTTTCATTTATATGTCAGTGTTTGATGTTAACTGATAACCACTAATTCCGCAAGGGGAAAAAGGAAAGTCAAACAAACTAACACTCAGATTCTCAAGTCAGTATAGAATTGCCACCAGCAAAACACACCTCATCGAGTGAGATATGATAACAAGGTGAGTGTACCAAAATGTTCATCGATAAAAGCTTATTCGTGTTTTACAGCAACAACACGGGCTATAAGCAAGTCGCACCAAGCCACAAACCATCAAATCAAAGGTGAACAATGGTAGGCTTATAGTCAACCACAATCACTTTGTCCAAGTGGGCAAGGAACAAGTTTGCAAATTCAACGTGGGCAGGATGAGCTACATACTCTGCAACCCCCTCTGTGCTCTCAAACGTTGATTCAAATACATGAGTAAACCCTTGATGCATATTCTCAGCACTCACGTCCTTGCCCCTGTTTACACGCCAAACGGAAATTAACAGAACACACAAAGATTTAGATGGAAGTACATTTATTGCTTTCACCTAATTTACACTTGGAATGATGGAAACTTTTTAAGAGGAGCCTGGTTTGAAAATATGAGTAGATCAAATGAATATCGATCCCCATGTAAATTATAAGTACACTTTTTAAAGTAGACCCACATTTGACACGTTTATATACTAATGATTAGCTTTGTTTATACAAGATTTTCTCATTTTCTGCAAGCATTGAAAGGGTTCTGCTCTACCACAGGCAGTTCCTTCATTCCAATCCAATGTTCTCGTCAATTCTGAAGCATCAGCTAGCTTCTGAGTAAAAGGTAGCTAACAAGAATTCAACATATACTTGTATACACTACAAGCACAACAGTACAGAACAAATTCTACCAAATTGGAGATCATTCGGCAAATCTCGCCGTACTATTGATTTTTTTTTCTTTTCAAGGGTCCCATTCATTTTCCTCTTGGTTGTCTCTACTTATTCTCTTGAATAACTCTTACATCATAGATTTTCTTTCCTGCCCTGCCCTGATCTAATTACTTTTGCTAAATTCGAAACCTTCCGCTTTTATGGGTTTCAATCTTCTTCGCAGTCGTCCCTTTGAAGAACACTTGAGATTTCAATTCAACAATTTTCTCTGTCCGGATCTAATTGCGATCTGAAAGTACAAATGTCTTTCGCATAACGGATCCTATTCCTCAATCAAAATGCAAAACATTTCAATTCAATCGTCCTATCCGTGTTATTTTTCCGAAGATCTCTTGAAGGGACACAATGCAAGGAGAGGGGAAAGAGTAATCGAGAAGGAAAAGAGTACCAATGGAAGGACTTCATGGGTGGAATGAGATTGACGAGATTGGCATAGCCTTTGATGAGCTCCTCAATCTTTTGAGGCGAAACATCGTCTTTGAACTTGGCGACCAACACGTGCTGCACAACCCCTTTTGCTTCCTCCATTTCTGCTTCAGTCGACCTTCGCTTCCTCCCTCACGCACTCAGAGAGTCAACAGTTCCCGCGACACACTCGAGGTGTACGGAGGGATAAGCAGTCCTCCTTTTGGGAGCACATTCAGTGCCCATTGTCCAGATTTAAATTTTTTTTATTTTTATAAATAAAAAATTTATAAAATTTGATACATCTATTAGTTAGTACCGTTTATATTTAATCAGGTCCAAATTTAATACCCTCTAATCTTATTTATAAATCACTCTTAATATATTTGATCAGTATTAAAAAAATTTTAAAATTTATTAACTTTATCTTAAAATTTAATATATTTTTAACTTTATTCCTATTAAATATATATATTTTAATAATATATTTTTCTTTTTAACATTTAATGAGGGTAAAAAAAAATTTATAATAAAAATTTAATAATGTAAATTATAAATAGAATAAAATATATCCTCTCTCTACCTTATAAATAGGATCAGAGAGAATATTACTTTTTTTTAACAATTTTTATAAATTAGCCATACAAATTTATTTGAATTGTTTTGAACTTGACAATATATTAAGTTAAAATTTTTTAACTTAAACAGTATGGAATAAATATGTATGGTTAATTTATAAAAATTATAAAAAATTAATATTAAATTTAGATCAATCAAATTAAATATGAATGGTACATATCAATAATTAATAAATTTATTCAAATTTTTATAAATTTTAATTTTAAAAATAAAAAATATTTAAATTTAAATCATTTAAATTAAATTTAAACAGTTCAAATTATTTCACAGGTGATTGATGAGCACGGAATGTGCTCCCTCCTCTTTTTTGACCAATGTCATCCCACATTTGAATCCCAACCACTCAATTTAATATATTGCTACAATTTTCAAGTTATGTGAGTGAATTTAAGTAATTCACAAAGTTATTTAACCTTATATATTTAAAATATTTATTTTTAATTAAATTAAGATGTGTATATTTTTTTATAAATTTTTTATTATATAAGAATTTTTTATTATTAATATACTAAAATTCACATATTTTGATTTGATTGAATAAATGTATGTTAATGCCAAATTTTTTTCTGTATTTTTCTTTAAAGAATTTCAGACACTTAAACTTTTCAGTGGGTCATTTATATCCTTGTATTTTTTTAGGAGTAAATTTTTTTTTCTATCAATCAACTGTGATCATTCTTGGAAAAAATGATAATTAGAAACTTTTAAAAGAACATTAATAATAATTATAAATTTTAAATTATTAAAATTCTAACAACAGATCATGATTCCAAAAATCTTAGCTGTACAAGTTTTGATTCCCACACCTCCAACACATACAACAAAATTTGCATAATTTTTAACAAATGGCATTTGGGTATTCTCAGTTTCACATTCAAAAAGTAAAATTTTACTTTCAAGATATTAAAAGTTGTTTAAATAAAATATTTTACAGAAAAGTACATTCTAAAAGTATATTTAAATAGTGACTGAAAATAAATTTGAGAAACATAACTATTTAAAACTTTTCAAAAGTTAATTTAAATAGTGAAATATTTTTTGACCATACTACTCCAAGTTTAATCTCTTATTTTTTTATTTAAAAAATAGTTAATTCATAAAAAATATAATTATCATTTTAATAATAATAATTAGATATCAAGTTTTTAACATCATAAATTCAATAATTAAACATATTAATTTTTAGCATTATTGTATAATAAAAATTATAAATCTTTATCACATTTTTTAAAATTATAAAAAAAAGCATAAATAATTAGAGATCAAGTTTTTTAATATTATAGATCAAATTTTATGTTATTTAAAATATTTATCACATTTTTTAAATATTTCAAATTTTAAATTGCAAATATATTATATTTGTATAATAAAAATTACTCCCTCTATCTCAAATTATAGGATTTTTAAAAAAAATTTTCGTTCTAAAATATAAAATACTTTGAGTAAATTAATATTTTATTAAATGTAACAATTTTAACGTTACCCTTTCTTTCTATATAATTAATTTATATCTTTTTTATTTTTAATATATTAAATGATGAGTATTTTGAAAAGTTTATATTTTTATTCTTGAAAGATAAGGTTATTAAGTGTATTTAATAATACTTATTAGTATGTAAAATTTTATTTAAAAATCTTATAATTTGGGACAGAAAGAGTATAAATCATCATAAATCAATATCTTTTTTAATAATTGTACATTAAAAAACACATTTCACTATCATAATTCAAACAACTTTCAGTATACCAAACATAAATTTCATTACAACAACTAACTTTCACTAAATTGACTTTTGTCAAATGAACTTTTACCAAATGAACTTTTAATAAAGTAAAAACCAAACACACACTTAATCAGCCATTTGAGTAGTAAAGCTTTGAGCTTTTATCTAGTTTAGGTGAAGAAATTAAGTATCTATAGTGCCAGAGGCATCGTTGTTGCTATAGAAAGTAGTGTGGTGTTTTGCCAATCTCCATTAGAGTAGCTGTTGAGAATTTGAGAGCATATTCGATGCTCATCAAGGGTAATGAGCACTACATGCTCATCATCTCTGAACCACTCTGGGTCGTCCAAATTTAATTTGAAAATTTGGACGGTCCATATTAAACTACTATTATATATTTTTTAGTTTTTAAATAAAAATTCATAAAATTTTTAATAAATATATTCAGTATTAATATGAACTATCCATATTTAATCAGATCAATCTAAATTTAATATTAATTTTTTATAAATAAACTATATAGATTTACTTTAAATTGTTTTGAATCTAACAATATAACAAGTTAAAAATTTTAAATATGACCAATACAAACTAAATTTGTATGATCAATTTATAAAAGATTATAAAAAAATTAATATTAAATTTATACTCATCTAATTAAATATGAATATTAAAATTTTATAAATTTTTATTTAAAAAATAAAAAAAGTAATTTAATCCGAACCATTCAGATTGAATCTGAACAGTCCAGATTAATTTGGGGATGATGAGCACCGCCGCTCATCAAATGTGCTCCCCAGGAATTCTAGCGTCGGTGAGGATCAGAGAAGCAATAAGAGAAACAAAGGGAAAGCAGAAGAAAGGGGAGGAGAGAAATAAGAGTTCAAGTTGAATGAAATTTAGGGGAATAAGTCTGAAACCACGAATTCGTGAATCGTGTGCAAAAGTAGAGGAGGAGGAGATCAAATTGGGCGAGGGAGGTTGGAATTGGAGGGAGAATGAGAACGAAGAAGAAGATGCCCACGCATGATGATTAACTTGGCGGTTAGATGTCTCCCTGTCCCATGAAGTGAAACCCACAAACCAGCCATGCACGTTAGCAGAAAAAAGGAGAAACCATGGTTGTTTGATAGCAAGTGAAATTTGCTTGTAAGAAAGATAATACAAGGGTAGAAATGCCACAAACAATAGTACATGTATTTAGCGCTCCTCAAAAAAAAAATACAAGATAAAAATACTCGTTAGTCCTAAATATTTAAAGTTACGTATATAAATCTTACTCATCCCTTCACTAAATTCAAATTTAAATTCAAATCTATGCACCATGTCATCACTAATTCACTAGTAGGTCATCTTAGTTAATTACATGAGTGCATGATATTCTCATAGGATAATTTCAATTAGGAATATTAGGTGATCTATATTCATTATAGATAGAAGATGGTACGAGGGACTTAATTATAATTTAGTTCTTTTTTTATAGAATTAATTACAGTTAATTGTACTATTTATAATTTTTAACTTAAATTTTAAGTCATGGGAAAAAAATTGTGGATGGCCAATATTTCTTGGGAAAAATTACAATTGGGGTCTCTACAAAAACATTAATGACAATTACAAATTCTAAATTATTAAAATTTCAACAACAGATTATAGTCCTTACAATAATTTACCTTTTATTAATTAATTTGAAATTCACAATAAACTTTAATAAATTCTGAACTAATCTTATAAAAATTTTCAACTATCTTTTATTGATTTTCCAAGCGATAGCAAAAAATCACAAATGATTATCCTGTGATTCACAACTAACTTATATAAATTTCCAACCAATGTCAATAAGATATATTTAAGTAAATAAGATGCACCATATTATTTATAGTTTGTTCAATAAAAACATTGTATTTAGATATCATTAAATATAAATTAATTATTATATTAATGATATTAGAGAGAGAGAAGGCAAGAAATCAAATGCGCACTTTATTATAAAAATAGAATCAATTTAAAAATATCATACAATATTTTATTTAGATTACTTTGAACATTTTAATTAAACAGACCACAAATAACATGGTGTACCCAATCTATCTAAATATTTCTCTAAATGTATTTAGTAAATTTTTCAAATGATTTATCTATATATTGAAGGCAAAAAATCATAAGCAATTGATTTGTGATTCACGACTAATTTTCACAATTCCCAACTAAAGTTATAAATAATCTCAAATATATTTACTTAATTTTTTAAGTGATTTATCAAAAAAAAATTGAGATTCTTAACTAATTTTCATAAATTCTTAATTGATGTTACAAATAGTCTCAATAGTTAGTATATTTTCCAATTGAGTATTCACATTTTTGAATTACAAGTAAGGATTATAGTTTTTTATTGGGATTTTAATCATTTAAGATATATAATTGTTATTAATGTTATTACAAGGTCCCTAATTGTCATTTCCCCTATTTCCTATACCCTTGGGTTTTTTTTTTGGAAGGAAAATATATCATGTTAAAACTGTCACTCATATATTACTATAATTTATAAATGAAATAGAGTAACATATTGAATGAAGATAATTTTAATAATTTAAAATCAATTTCTATATAATAGGCCATTTTTCAAGTTCAATAATTTAATCAATCTAAAATTAAGGTTAAATTACACAAAACTTTCACAAACTTTAAAGCAATTGCAATGACCCCTTATATTTACATATTTAAAATCAACTCTCTAACTTTTTTTTTTTTTGAAAGCCCCCCACCATTAATTAGTTTTGGTATGTTACTACTACAGTTTGTTGTATTATATTAATGCAATACACATGATATAAGATATGAAACAAATTTTTTTATTATTTTTAAATACAATATAAGGAGGGTAAAACTGAAAAATTTAAGAAGGGGCAAACTAGATGTTAGATTGAGCTATGCTTTGTGGACATTTTTTTTTAAATAATATACCTGCTTGTCATTTCCTAAAAAATTACACATTTATCATATTTCAATTAAAGAAGCTTCTATTAAGATTAAGAATGCCAAAAAAAAAATGACACATGATTTTAATATTTCGAATTACATGATGTTGTTTGGCCAAAAAAAAAAATTACATGATGTTAATTTTTCTCATTATTTTGAGTTGTGCGTTTGTATTACTAGGTTTTAGGTTTGATCCCTTGCCTCTTTAAAGTTCAAATGCTACGCCTGTCTTTAAAAATAACAAAAAGGAATAATTTTTTTTTTCAAATGGAAAAGGCCATGACACAATCTGTGTAAAAGACAACAATCAAATCATGTCAGCGTTTAAAAAATTATTACACTCTAAAGGTAGATTATTTAAAATTTTAATATCCAGACTATCTTTAATAACGTGTTGAGCAAGCTAATCTGAATAGTTGTTCACTTCTCTGTAAATGTGATCAAGAAACAAATTTTTTCATATGATTCTTATATGGCTTTTTGATAATTTTTCTTTTCTTTATTTAAATATAAAATGCTGTTTTAATTTATAAAGTATAATAAAATTATAGTCTTTCTCTTAGATTATGTTAATAGTGAACATTGAGAAAAAAATTGCTAAACAAATAAAATAAGAACATCGTCATATGTAATAAAAATAAAAATTATAATTTTGTCCTTTCTTATATTTTCTTTAAAATAATAAAAATATTTTTTTCATGTTACATGACATATATATTGCATCAATCTGACATGGCAAACTCTACCAACAACATAACAAAATTAATTAATAGTGGGAGGCTTTGAAAAACAAAATTAAAGTTATGGAAGTTAATTTTAATAATATCAAGGGTCATCCACAACTATTTTAAAATTTAAGAGAGTTTTATACAATTTAATCTAAAATTAAATTGTGAAAACATTTGCTCATATAAAAAGAATGATTAAACCTAGTAGAAGAGATATGATCATGAGGTCTCGAATTTGAGTCTATATAAATGAATAATATATTTTTTAAAAATTACCTTTAATTAAATTTAACAACTCAAATTTAATTCAATAAAATAGTCATATTAAAACAAATTGCATAGTCTTTGCAATTACTTTTAAATTATATCAATAAGTTGATTTCACTTCAAAATTTTACAGCATGATGTTTCCTTGATTCATCATTAAAAGTAATAAATATATTTATCTTAAAAACGATATTAACAAAATTAAGAAATTAGTTGAACTTTATTAATAATAACAAGTTCATTCCTCTCAACTATATTCAATAAAAATAGGGAGAATGATAGTTAAATCTCCAGGGAACTAATTAATTTAAGTTAAATCCTAACTAATTTTAAAATATCAATAAATTTTTTTAGTGGTAATAAGTTTAACATTTTTAAAAATTTACAAGTTTAACTCCTAATTTTGCAACTTTATTATGATATAGTTATAATTTATTTTTTAAATTTTAATAGGGTTCAAGAATAAATAATAGGTAATGAAGAAATAGATGATGTATTTATTTTATTGATGAATAGGCAATAGGCAAAGAATAAACAATAGATTTAATATTTTTTAACATTAAATTTGAACATTTGTGTTTTCTATTAAAATGTGAAAAATAAATTACAAATTCATGATAATAAAGTTATAAAATTAAAAACCCAACTTACAAATCTCTGAAATTGTTACACTTAATATTTTTCAATATTAAAGATGAATATTTATGTTTTCTATTAAAATTAGGAAAATAAGGTGCAAATGTATTATAAAGAAGTTACAAAATAAGGAATTGAACTCGCAAATTTCTAAAGCTGTTAAATTTAATACTTATCAACATTAAATATGAACATAAATTTAGAAAACAAGTTACAAACACATGACAATGGGGTCCGTTTGGTTTTCTTCCGTTTTACGTTCAGAAAGCAAAATTTTACTTTTAGAAAGTTGAAAGTTGTTTGGGTAGAATATTTTGCAGAAAAGCACATTCTGAAAGTACATTCAAATAGTAGCTGAAAGTGGATTTCTGAAACGTAACTATTTGAAACTTTTGAAAAGTGGATTTGAAAAGTAGGATGTTATTTGACCATACTATCCTAAGTTTAATATCTTATTTTTTATTTAAAAAATAGTTAATTCATTAAAAATATAATTATTATTTTAATAATAATAATAATTAGGTATCAATTTTTTTAGTATTATAAATTGAGTAATTAATCATGTTAATTTTTAGCATTAATGTATAATAAAAATTACAAATCTTTATTATATCTTTTAAAATTACAAATTAAAAAATACAAATAATTAGAGATCAAATTTTTAGCATTATAGATCAAAATTTATGTTATTTATAATCTTTATTACATTTTTTAAATATTTTAAATATATTACATTTGTATAATAAAAATTATAAATCATTATAAATCAATGTCCTTTTTGGTAATTGTACATTCAAAAGCACATTTCACTATCACAAACCAAACAGCTTTTAATGTATCAAACTGACTTTTGAAAAAATATATCCAAATACAAATTTCGTTACAACAATTGATTTTCATGAAACTGACTTTCACCAAATGAACTTTCACCAAATAAACTTTTGTCAAATTAAAAACCAAACGCACATAGAGTTACAAAATTGGGAGCTGATCTTGCAAATCCTTATAAAATTTATTACCACTAAAGGATCAAGGAACTTTGTTGATATTATGAAATTAATTAAAATTTAATTTAAATTAATTGATTTTCTTAGAATTTAGCTGTCATTCTTCCATATTTTAAAAGCTTAGAGTATTTTATGGACATCAAACAATCATATTAATGTGTATATAATATAGTTAAATTAAATAAATATATTAATACCTTATAATAGTATGCCCAAAGGAGTAAAATATTAGAGATCAAGTTTGCAAGCGGAGGACAAAAAATAGAATTTAGTTTATTTTGGCGGAAACAGTGGCGTTTGTAGTTAGTGAAGGGGAATGCTATAGATGGACCCTTATCTGTGTGACGAAGCAGACACTATCCGAAGCAAGCAAGTGCGGAAGGAGGGACATCAGGCATGGCGATGTCTCTGGCTCAGCAATTCGCCGGCCTCCGCTGCTGCTCTCCTCTCTCTTCGTCACCTCTTTCCAAGCCTCTCTCTTCCCCCACTACCCATAAGCGCAATCCCCTTCCCATCGTCGCCTCCGTCGCAATCTCTAATGCGCAGACCAAAGAGAGGGAAAAGCTCAAACAGCTCTTCGAAGAAGCCTACGAGCGCTGTCGAACTGCCCCCATGGAAGGCGTTTCCTTCACCGTCGAAGAGTTCAACGCCGCCCTTGATAAGTATGACTTCGATTCTGAAATTGGCACCAAGGTCAGTGTTCATAGAGGCCGGCGCTTATTAAATTTCTTATTCTTTCTTTCCCTCAGTCTCTATGGTGCTCTTTCGAACTCATTGAATTCATAAAACACTGCGACTCCTTGACATTGAGTAGATGATTGTATCTGAATTGTGTGGAACTGAGAGTGGGGCGTAGGCTGTTTGGCTTATCTAGACGCATACTTATCTAGAATCTGTTAGAAGCAGGAAACTGAGCGCAAGGGCGGTAATGGTGTGAATTTTAAGGACGAAGCAGGGCAAAGTTAATTCTGCTTCTTGAAAGTTCGAAGGAATGATCAAAATATGGTTAACAGTTCCTCCATCTTTTGCATGCATTATCTTTCCTTTTTATTTACTTGGAATGTCAAAAATATTTTAATTGAAGCTGAAGGCAGATAGTTTTAGTTTGTTTCTGATTATTTGGATGATTGGTGCTCCCACCATGATTTAAAAAATTTCCTTCGATGTCCTTTCAACTTATTGAAGACAGTTCAATAATTATAAAAAAAAAAAAAAGAGTTTCGTGTAGCTAAGTACGTTTGAGCAATCTTCTACATGTACTTTTAAGTTAATTACTAATTCAAATAGCTTTATATGGTGCTGGTTTATCTTTCAGGTTAAAGGCACTGTTTTCAATGTAGATGCTAATGGAGCTCTTGTTGACATTACTGCAAAGTCGTCGGCATACTTGCCTCTCCAAGAGGCATGCATCCACAGAATTAAACATGTACAAGAAGCAGGCATAGTTCCTGGCTTGACAGAAGAGTTTGTAATCATCGGTGAAAATGAAGCTGACGACAGCTTGATCTTGAGTTTAAGGAGTCTCCAATATGACCTTGCATGGGAACGCTGTAGGCAACTTCAAGCAGAAGATGTTGTTGTCAAGGGTAAGGTAGGTTTTAGCATACCAACAGCCTCTTGCATGTCAAAATTTAACATAAAATTTGAGCATTTATTTCTTGTTATCCCTATTAAATCAAACTTCCTAAGGGAAGCCTGAAAAACCTATTTGTATAATTCTATCACTTAAAATAGGCTGATCTGATCTATGATTACGTTAACTTGGTTCATCTTTTTACCTATACTCCTCCCTTATTCTCTCATATGCACTTTTGAGTGACAGATTGTCGGTGCAAACAAAGGTGGAGTTGTGGCTTTGGTTGAAGGCCTGAGAGGGTTTGTTCCTTTCTCACAAATATCATCGGTTAGTTCTCAGTCCATATTAGCATTTAAGGATTTGTATCAGATTCAAACTCATGATCTGTCAATTCAAATTATGACCTAAAATTAAAGGAGCGGTGAGAATTCTAATCAAAGTATGATGGTCTGTTGTGTGTTGGACCAAAAAACATGAGTACCAAAAGCATTACCGCGCATGCAATGCAACAATATTTAGAACAACTAAGGTGTAATATTTGTTGACAAGTATTGGTGAATGAGTTTGTAAGGTTCAGAAATGTCCTCTATTCTCATCAATGCAGCAAGTTAGTCAAGCAATATTATAAGTAGAACTTGTATGCTTAAGCATGTTTTGAACTAGATTATTCTGGGTAAATGCTTTGTTGTTTTTTCTTTTCCATGTTGATTTCTGACTTCTATGGAGCTCACTAGTAAAGAGAATTTAAAATTTTACGATTCTCTTTTGTATATTTTCATTTCAGAAATCAACTGCAGAAGAGCTTCTTGAGAAGGAGCTTCCTCTGAAGTTTGTGGAGGTGGATGAGGAACAGTCTAGACTTATTCTCAGTAACCGCAAGGCCATGGCTGACAGCCAGGCACAGCTAGGAATTGGATCAGTGGTCACTGGCTCTGTTCAAAGCCTAAAGCCTTATGGTGCCTTCATTGACATTGGTGGAATCAATGGCCTACTTCATGTCAGTCAGATCAGTCATGATCGTGTAACTGATATCTCAACTGTTCTTCAACCTGGTGATACTCTCAAGGTAAACCATTGTATGCTATATGAATATTTACTTGGTATTATAGCCATCGTATGGACTTCACTTTTCTCTAATATACTCTTCTTTAGGTAATGATCTTAAGTCATGATCGGGAGAGAGGTCGAGTAAGCCTTTCTACAAAGAAGTTAGAACCCACACCTGGAGACATGATTCGCAACCCAAAGCTTGTCTTTGAGAAGGTATACGAATCCCAAGTCTGTCACATGGTGCAAATGCAAACAACAATTGTAGAATATTGATAGCTTTGTTAGCATGGCTCATTTTTAATTCTTTCTTCTTTCTTTTCTAATTATTAGTTATCAGTCTTCTGTTTGGGTCATCATCCACTCTTTAGGTTTGATATCTTTGGGGAAGCGGAAAGAATAGAGTTATCTTTCTGTTCCATTTTGTATTTTTATCTTATTGTTTCGCATTTATAGATCTCCTACTTCTACCTTTCTAATTAGCATCATTGTTTTTGAAATAGAATTTATACTTATAGCTCTGATTATGTTCTGATAGGCTGAGGAGATGGCTCAGACATTTAGACAGAGAATAGCCCAAGCTGAAGCTATGGCTCGTGCAGACATGCTTAGATTCCAGCCTGAGGTACTTACTCATTGATTATTCACATAAATGATTCTGCACTCAGTGGCAATGGAGCAGTAGCAAGGAACTAAAGCATACTAAAATCAAATGACCTGAATTAAAAATAAAATAAAATTATATCTTCCTGCTGAAGAAGATGATTAGAACTCCTAAAATGAAAATCATTTAGGTAGCAAGCCATTTCAAACTTGATAACTTAGTCAACCGCAACCTGTTTTGCATCAGAGAGAAACATTAGAGATCTAACTCGTTTTCCTACCTTGAATTATATATATATACATATACACACTCTCTCTCCATTTTTATTTATAAGAGAAACTATCACTAAACTTTTTATTTTACATTAGCAAAATCATATTTTTCAATAAGTATTTATTGCAAACTTCCTAAATTACCCCTCATAATTTTATTATCCATAGTCATGAGAAACAATTAATGAAGGCTTGATTAACATAATTGATAATAAGTATTGTAGTCCAACTCTTTTATTTTTAGACATAATTAATATAGTTAACTGATTTTTTTAAACTGTGTGATATAGTTTTTCTTCTATAAATGGAAATGGAGGGAGTAGTGTGTGTATATATATATATATATATAATGGAGGGATGTTGTAGTTTGCTATGAATGGCTGTTTTTGAAACAAGTTCAAATATGATATGCTTCCCTGACCTTGATTATTCGCTCATATATTGTGGATGCATTATGCATAATATGCACGCATATGCACATGTATATTACAATCAGTTTTAATTGGCTAGAAATATTGGACAAACAAGGCATAGATGAAATTGATTCATTAAAAAAAAATAGTTAAGATCAAATGTTACATGTGAATCTAAAATAAACAACTATTTTCATTGGAACTTAAACAGTCTATGTTGTCCAGAAAGTATGCGTTGGTCGCGCATGTTGACTTGTTGAGATGGAGGATGTTATTTGTTGATGTTTGATAGAAGTGTTTGACCCTTAATTTGCAGAGTGGATTAACTCTCAGCAGTGATGGGATATTGGGGCCGCTTACTTCAGACCTGCCTGCAGAGGGATTGGATCTGAGTGAAGTACCCCCAGCCGACGAATCAGAATCAGAATAAGAACTTCCTTTCCTTTTTACTCTTTATCTTATGCTTTGTAAGTTGTAACTAGAATTTATTGTATCAAGTGAGAAGATGTCATTGTATTGTAATTTCATAATATACGCAACTATAATTATGAATTGTGAGGCTTTGCCATTCAATTCTCTGTCAAACCTTTTTTCCCTTTAAATTCTTTTGCCGGACGAGGGAAAATTACTGAAGACCAGCGTTTTTAACCTGTTCACTCGCTCCTCGGCCAATTCTCCTGTCACCATGATTCTAGCCAAGGCAAATGAGAGCTTTCTGTTGGGCAAGACTTATATATTTAGTGCTCGTTTCATTCCAAATTATAAAATATTTTTAAATAAATTTATATATATTTAAAAAGTTTATTAAATATGTTTTACAATTTTATTTTTTTAAAGTAAAATGTAAACTTTTAAAAATAATTTTTATTTAATATTTCAATTGTAAAAGTATATTAAAGAGATATAGTATATGAGAAAGATAATATTAAAAAGTATCATTAATAAATTTTTATTTTTTCTAAAATGTCATTTTAAAATGTTAAATCTTTTCAAAAGTGTTTTTTTTTTTGTAATTTGAGATAGAAGTAATATTATATACTTAATATAATATAAAGTATTTTTTAGAAACCTTGCCTAGTTCAAAATATAAGACATTGAGTAATTTTTAAGTTGTTTTTTCCACTACACCCTTCAATTATTACTTTTTTTGACAAATTGATATATTAAAATTTTAATTATCATTATTAAAATATTTATATAGAGTATTTAATGAGGATAAAATTAAAAAGATGTACATTTTTTTTAGAAATTAAAATTTGAACTAACATTTTTTAAGAATTGCAAATTAGTTATTAATACCCTCTATTTTGGTCCAAAGGGAGTATATTTTTATTCAATCAAATTAAGATGAGTATTTTTAATGTCTCAATAATATTGATAAAAAAAGTTTGTTATAGAATAAATAATCTATAAAAATCCACATATCCTAATTTAATTGAAAAGAGGCACTTCAAATATACAAAGATAAGTATTTCCTCCGTTAAAAATGTAAGATATTTTTAATCAAATTTCACCCCTTCAATAAAATAATTACTTACTTTTCAACTAACTCTATCTTTTCATATTTACCCCTATTAAACACCCTATAATAAATATAAAGTCATTTATCAACAGGAGCACTTTTGAAAAAAAAAAAAGCAATGATTATACCTCAATAGATTAAAAATGCTTTATATTTTTTAATATTCAACTCTTTAAATAATATCTTATATTTTTGAACGGAAGGAGTACATGAATTTCTCCCCCTTCCCTACACTGTTAGTGTTAGATTCTCAGCAATTCCGAAGAGGTTATAATTATACCAAATCAATAATGAATCAACACAGGTTTGTTAAAAATTAAAACGAACAACATTTGGTGGGGATGCAGAAGACTACTAAATTTATGCATTGATAACATCTACAATATTTCAGTGGAATAAACTATACAAGGGGCATCAAATAGAAATGCTCACAATACAGATCTCCAGGCAAAACTTTCTCTCTCTCGTGACATACGTAACATACAAATGTGTCAGCAGCTGAAGACATAAATCTTGCACAAGATTGGTCAACTTTCCTGTTTGTTGCTCTTCTTGCCTTTCTTTTGCTTCTGCTTCAATTGAGTAAGGCCAGCAGCCGCTATCTTCACATTACCAATAATTGCGGCCACAAGCTCCGGATCGGTACAGGCTTTCATCAATTCCTTTTCTCGGCTTGTTGATTCTGGCATGTGGCTGAACAAATTCGTTGCAGTTTTTGCAGCTATTTAAAAAAGAAGAAAAGTTATTTTAAGATGATTCACTCATAATCTCGGACCATGTACAGCAGCAGAATATAAAATTAAGCATAACATGCAGAAGCCTTGTAATGTCAGAATATGCAAAAGAAAGGAAAGGAAAGGGGAAAAAAAAAAAGGGCTAAAAGCTTAGAAAGCTTGTTAAAAATATCCCTATTCACAACAATTAACATGATTACTGAGAAATATGAGTGATAAATAGAAGGAAAAATTAATAGAAACCTTTTCCTTTCTTTGCTGCTCCAGGAATTATCTTCACTCGAAATTTGTAAGACTGAACTGCGGTGTATGGTCCACAGACAGGCACGGCATACAAGAGAATGTCATTAGGGAGTGGATTTCCTGTCAAGTAATCCACGTCATTCAACTTCTCCTTCTCTTCTTCACCTATCTCATTAATATCATCCTCTTCCATTGCCACCCTGTCTACTTCAGAAGTGTTACCACCAGCATTCATAATCAAATTCTCTTCAGTTCCGCCAGTTGCTGGATTATGTAATGAATCGTCCAGCTGCTCTTTACAATCCCGAGATAGGTGTCCTGCCTTCTTACATTTGTAACATATTTTTGGAGCTTCTGCAGGACCTTTAAAGAATTGAAATTCAATTCAATTAATTAAACAACAGTTGACTATGCCGATAGATTTCATATTACGCACCACATGTCCACTGTTACATTGAATAATATAAAGGCTTACCACCACCAGCTTTTTTATCCCTGTCTGATGCTGCATTTTTATCTTGTGTATCTCCGTTCTTGCTCGACTTTCCAGCAGACTACAAGTATACACAATAAATCAGTGCAAGAAATTAGATAACGGGATGACGAAAATAGTGTTCTGGTCTCATGCTAGCACGTTTGCCATATTTATCCAGTACACTTTAAAAACAAAAACATCCATGCATATATGTGTGCTTATGGAGAAGACTAGATAGCATAGAAAATATATCTATTTTATTTAGCAACCCAGGGCAAAAATGAGCAAATCAGAGTTATTGGAACATACAGCTAACAAAGCCATTCGTATGCTCCTTTCTTCCTCATCTTGGTCAGCATATTTCTCTTTAATTTTCTTGAGTTTGCCCCTTTGTCCACGGCTGACTTTTTGACCACCTGTCTTTGAATTTTGGACTTCTCTTGCGGGTTGCATAGCAGAAATATCAGTCAATTTTGATTCACCCTTTCCATGTTCAACATTTGAATGTGAAAAACCTTGTTTTTGTTCTTTCTTATGCTTTCTCCTTTCAGCTTTTGACACATGTGGCTTGTCCCTCACTTCAACTTTGATTTCCTCAAGATGTTGCTCACCACCTAAATCATCCTTGGAGCTTTCAACTCCATAACTTTTACCTGATTTAGCAGCAGACCCAAGTCCTAGAGTTCGATCAAGAAGTTCCTCAAGTAGTGGATTGACGGATGGAATGTCACTTCCACCATTATCAGGTGAATTCACCCTAGCAGCCTTATTCAACATACCCTTTTCTTCTGCAGGTAAATTGTGCGAAGCTGTAGTTTCACTATTGATGATGGCCCCACAGTTCTGAGATAACTTAGCAGTACAATCTTCTGGCAGTGGTTTATGTGAACCTGCAGATAAGTTACCATTTCTTTCCAATTCCGTAGCAGATATTCCATCCTTGACATCATTGTCAGACTCACAGTCGGATTTTTCTTCGGGAGGGCCAGTTTCTTCATCATCATCTATCGCTTCCTCCTCTCCTCTCACCCTCCTTTCATTTAAATGTGATCCCAAGGAACTCTCATCTAAGCGAAACAGCAGGCCGAAACCCATAACAAGAGGGTGTGGTGGAAGAAAATTTTTCTTCCCCCGAATCATGAAACTCCCAACTGTTAGATATTCACCGGTAGGGGCAGTTTTACTGACTTGATGAGGGTAAACCCACCAGGCACTAGTAACAATTTTTGAATCCCATGCTTGGCTATGGCAGACCTGTATCATAAACACAATATCAAGGTAGGAGGGGGCTAATGCTCGATTCAAGTCATGAGTACACAATAAATCAAATTAAGTAAATTCATTCAAAATATAGCATAGGTTAATGATAACATACCGTGAAACATCCAGCTTGGTTCAGAGTTAGAGGTGGAACTGGTTGCCCAGGCTTGTGATTCTTGATAACGGTACTGGAAGCTCCATGCAGATCAGCATGCACATAACTATTACAAAATGAAATCAACAAAATCAGATATCACATCATACTTAAGAATAAATTCATAGATATCAAAATATTGCACAATTATTTTCATTATGCATGTTCTATGCACTTAAAATGCATCTTATAGTAGATAATTTAGTTTCATGATGAGAAATCAATTAGTAACATAATTTGATTACAAAGTTCAAGGGACTTCCGAAAATAAAGTACAATAGCACAAAAGAGTATGTGTGATATACATGGAACACAAGAAATCTAGTGAGAAAAGGGAGAGGAAAGGCGATGCAGTAGGTGCAATAGAATAAACCAGCATATTTTGCTGGCCATAAGTGGAGACAGCTCTCTACAGAAAAGTAGGTAGAGAAGCCCATCACATCTGTGAAAAGAACGTTGTGCATTTTTCAAATCCTAAAGCAGTTTTACAATTTGAAACTGGACAAATTCTCTAGATTCGTGTGCAGAGAAATTATTGATGAATGCAATAATTTTTCAGAAATATACAATATATATGCTTTGAACGATCAGGACATGGGAGGCATGAAAACATTGAAATATTGTTCACAAGATGGCTTTAACCTAATTGCCGTTACTATTTTTCAAGATAACTTCTTTTTCAATCAATTCCACGTGTAAGCTTGGGACTTCAAAAAGATCAAAAGGCATGTCATGAAACAAGAAATACTCACAGATCTCCTTTAGACATATATCGCTTGACTATCATCTCATTCTGTTGGGCATCGCGTCCACTAATAACTAAATAGTTCTCACTGCTAATGAACCAATTAAATTTCTCAAACCAGTGGACTTTACGGATATGAGAAATTGTGGCAACTGTTTTTTCCTGAAAATAGAATTATGATAAGAAAATGAATGAATTAAATGAATAAAAGGTTAAGAAAGAGAGGCATGCCAAGAAAATTTCTTAGCAGTGGTAATAGGCTAATTTTATAGTCAGTATGCATTTAAACTTGCCCGTCCTGACACAACTAAAATAACCCTTCAGGTTAGAGATTTGTCATGCACATGGCCTGCCATAAGAAAACAATATGCATGAGGTTTTGGGCAGTCTTCTTGCTTGTTTAAGCGCCTATACTTTTCTGCCACCATTTTGGTATCTTG